CGTGCAAAAGGATCCACGAAGCCTCGACAACTCCGTGGGAGTGATCTGAGTGTTGTCCGAGTCCTCAAACGAGGATTTAAGCGGAGCTGTGCCTGGGAAACTGTCCAGCCTACACCGCGACCATCTTCGGTGTAAGTAAACAATCTTGAATCAACCATTACGCGTCCGTGCCTAATTCCAGTGTGTCGCCTGTTCTCTCTGACCCAGCGTGCCCAGGCTGCTGGCCACAGCCCGCACGGCGCGAAAAAGGGCCCAGAACGCTCCCGGCCCGCACACCATGCACCGGTACAGGCTGGGGGCTGACTGGCTGGGCAGCATCTTGTAGAAGAGGGCCTGAGGGTTACAGTGGACAATAAGCTGAATATGGGCCAACAGTGTGCCTTTCTTTGTTTAAAAAAAAAAAAAAAAGGCTAATGGAATACTGGACTGTACTGGTAGGAGTGTTGCCAGCAGTTCCAGGGAAATGATTATTCCCCTCTGTTCAGCACTGGTGAGGCCACATGTGGAATACTGTGTCCAGTTGTGGCCCTCCCCCCTACAGGACGGATGTGGAGAAATTGGAGAGAGTCCTGTGGAGGGTAACAAACAATGGTGAGAGGACTGTGGGATATGACTTATGAAGAGAAGCTGAAGGAACTGGGCTTATTTAGTCTGGAGAAGACTGAGGGGGGCAGATTTAATAGCAGCCTTCTACTACCTGAAGGTGGTTCCAAGGAGGATGGAGCTAAACTGTTCTCAGTGGTGGCAGATGACAGAACAAGGAGTCTCAAGTTGCAGCAAAGAAAGTTTAGGTTAGGTATTAGGAAAAACTCTCTCACTAGGAGAGTAGTAAAACACTGGAACAGGTTACCCAGAAAAGTTCTGGAATCTCCATTCTTGGAGGAACCTCCATCCTTTGAGGTTTTTAAGACCCAACTAGACAAAGCCTTGGTTGGGGTCATGTGGTTGGGGACGGTCCTGCTTTGAGCAGGGGGTTGGACTAGATGACCATCTGAGGTCCCTTCCAATCCTAATTTTCTATGATTCTGTTATTTTAATACAAGATGAGTGGCTGATGGGGAAAAAATCCTTGTCCTTAAGAATAAATATCTTAGCTGCACTATGTTTCCAATGTTTTCTCATATATAATACACACCTTTCCCCAGAAAAGTCAGTTCCCCCAGATTGGGGTGCAAGGATTAAGCAGGAAGCTGATTTTCTGCCTAGGACAGAAGCAACCTGATTTGATTTCTTCTCCGTGGTGCAGCAGGTGTGCCATTTCTATTCAGTCAGCTGAGGGAGTCAATTGACTTAATGGCTCACCTCTTTACTATACAGGTGTTAACAATTGTCTCCCCTTTTTAATGGTCTTGATATTCCACTAATCAAGCTAATCCATTTTAGGACAATTTTGCTGTCTATTAGCTGTTCCTGGTCTCTTTTCTCCTATTTTATGGCCTTGGAGACTCTTTAGCTCCTCAAAATTATTGATCCACCCAGAGAAACCAGTCTTCAGCAGGAGCCAGGGTTTGAGCTTTTTTACTTCATGTTGTCTTTCAAAAAACAAGGTGTGTATTATGTTCTGGAGTGCATTGTATGTGGGAAAACATGGTACTTTGAACCCTGCATACAGCAGGAAACCAATGTCAGCATCTGTTCTGCTGCTAAAGTTTTCCCAAGCATGATGAAGGCTGTTGCATAGGGATCCCTGCAGGAAAAACGATCTCCAGAGGTGACATCACAATATGTGAGAGGACATGGGAGGCTAATGACAAATCACTGCAGATGGTATTTAGGAGATATCAGGAGAAGAACTTCACTTTGAATCAAGCTAAAAGGGATTCCTATAAAACTTTCCTGGAGTTTTGGCTGTATCTTTTTTGGAGCTGGCGCAGTACCAGATCGTAACTAGATAGTAGCCATTAAAAGCGTGTCAGCCCCAGAGTGCCAGTGAACGACTCAGCCTCATGAGAAAGCTTAGCTACTGCGTATGCTTCATTATTGATCATGCACCACTAGTTTACACAGTGCCCGAGACTTCTTCTGGTTCTCCTCTGGCTGCTGGCAGATGCCAATTTAGTTGCACAATTGGGATCTAATTTTATCTTGGATCCCCAAAATCATGCATCCTGCCATGACAGATATGCATGGCAGGACCTGCAATTTTTGGGATCTAGGATAAGATTAATCAGATCCCATTACATGCCAGACCTTTAAAGCCATACTATGAAGCATGGCATCAGGGAGCTGCATGGTGGGACTTTTAAAGGTGCCAATGTGTGGGGAGCCAATGGAGTACCCCTGTACTGGAATGTTTACAGCCTTGCCCTGCAGCCTGTAGGGTAAGGCACAAAATATACCAGATATAGGAGGAGTCCACTGACTTCCTGTATGCCAGTACTTCTAAAAGCTTTGCTCTGCAGCCCCACATGCAATCTGCAGGGCAAGGCTTAACATGCTGCACATTTAAATTAGTGCCATACATTAAATAGAACATCTTTGTGGCTGGTTTGCCATCTTATATCACCACAAATTGATTGAATGTGTAGCATGTTACAATTTATCACATAATTAACACGTTCATTTGCACCAAAGGTTATACCACCATGTGACCAACACTGTTCTATCTTGTAAGTCATCTCTGCATGTGAGCCATCATTCCTTTGTTGAGATTTTGCAGATTTGCCTCATATCAGGGTTTCTATCACAGACAATAATTTTTTATTAGCCCCTGGCACTCAAAAAAAAAAAAAAAACACAACACCCAGAAAAAAAAATAAAAACAACAACAAAACCTAATGCCATACATGGAGAAAGCTTGGAAACAGGAGCTATACGGATTTCTGAGACACAGGTTCTGTTTGAACAGTTATTATGCATCAGATTGTCAAACTTTGCAGCATGGACAAAAGATGCACCCAGATACTGTGGTGATGGGTGCAGCATTAGAACAGAATAGTATCACCACCACAATGGCCTTGTCTAGGCTGGGAGAATGTATTGTGTTAGAAAACATGTTAGCCAGCACAATTTAAAGTGTACAAAGCCAGTCATGTTTATGTAACTCTTCTGTTTGGTGCCGATGCCAGCAACAAAGGCTGTGCTCTTCTTTCGAGGGTCCCCCCCCCGCCCCTTTTTTTTTTTTTTTTTTTTTTTAATTAAAGGCCTCAACCAGAGCTCTACTGATTTTAGAGAACTAAACATTACTTCCTCATGGTCACCTTTGCAGGTGGTTCTTCCCCATTTGTAAGCACTATAAAGTCCCGCTCTACAAGAATAATTAGATGCCTACCTGCCTCTTTAGACACTTGAAGCCACTAGTGGGGAACTGCTGATGTTCTCAAAACAGTTGCCCGACTCTACAACCATCCAGCTGGCATTTGCAAAGCTGTCTGACAACTGATGTGGCCCTGCAACTAAGAAGCTACTCAGAACCATAGTTCTAAGCCAAACTCCTGGAGTCCCCAAAGTAAGATTCTTGAAGTAGGTGAGTGTCCCTCTCTTTCCATTGTGTCCTGATCAGTGGGCAAGCTCTGAACATCCCTAATACCTTTTTACCTGTCAAACCCCAGAGAAGGAGGGCCAGAGTGCAGCAATACTGGGGTACTGTACCTTTGAGTATTTGGGCTTAAAGGAGCCCTTGGGAACAACAACCTCTCTTGGGGGCAAGAGAAGGAAGGATGCCGACAGGAATGTGATAACCATATACATACATCTGACTTGGTTTGGTTCATTTTGTTGTCCCAAGAATATAGTCACCATCACAACTCTGAACATTAATACTCCCACATTTTGCCTTATAAAATGGAGCAGAGCGTTTAGTCCATGTAAATCTTCTAGCTCCGAGGGCTGTATCTGGTGGTGGTTTGCCCTGTTGGGGCGCAGATGACAGGTGTCACATTCCACAGCAATGTAAGTGTTATTTGCCAAACTAAGGGCACATCTACATGTGGAATTATGGCTTGTGAATAAACTGGAACTTTTTGTTCCACAGTTAATTGCTCTCAGGTGTGCCGTTTGAATGTGAGCCTGGGAGCAATCAACTCCAGAGCAATAAACTCTGCAGTTTATTCATGCACAGCATGTGAAGCCAAGGCAGCGCAGCCCTGGCTGGCAGGGAATCCTGGGGGGGTCAGTCTACCAACCTGGGTCTGCTCTGCTCTGCTCAATGTGCTGTGGAGGGACTGGCTGGGCCATGAGGGAGCTTTATTGTGGGGCTAGCCAGCAGGTAGTCCCTTCACTGAAGCATCCTCATGCCTTAGCCAGCCCCTTCAGCATCTATATGTGCGGTGCTGTGGAGTAAATTAGTTTACTCAAGCCTAATAGGGGTGTACGTGTAGATGCTGAGACATTTACTGCACAGCTAATTAGTGTACCACACAGTAGATGTCTTATGTAGATGCACCCTGAGAGAGTTACTTACAAGCAGCTAGTGAGCTTCTAAACCTGGCTGTCCTCCTTCATATTGGAGGTAAAGTCACTGTTATTACTGTGCTAGCTAAAGTCTGTAGTTAATGTTTTCTAAGGACTTGTCTACAGATAAAAAGTGTCCTGCTTCAAGTGTACCAGTAGTTATAACAGATAAGTCCCTTTGTATGAAAAGAAAGGGGGAATAATTATACCAGTCCAAGGATATGTCTACACTGCCTCCCCTTTGTGCCCAGGGTACTCTGCTCTTAGGTGTATGCTGCCTACTGACTTCCATTTGCATGTACCAAACTCCTAAAATGAGAAGGTGAAGACCCCTTTGGGGTTTCCACCAGAACCTCTCAGGTGTAACAAAAATGGAGCTCTTGAAAGCAGCCATTAAGGACACTTCACTGCCTTATTTCCAGGTTGGATAAATGGGCTGAGGGGGCTGAAGAGCAGTACTCCCTGGGAGCACTAAGCTGTCTACACATGCTTGGTACAGTTGTGTCCACAATACTTACTCACAGAAACCTGTTACAGAAGCTTTTTTTTTTTTTTTTAAAAAGGGGGGGAAAAAAAAAAAAAAAAAAATCACACCCTTAGCTCTTGCACATTTTACTACTAGAACGCATAAGTCCACAGCAGGCCTAACACAATGTGTTTTTCACATTGAAAACACAAAACACATTGACAAAACACATTGGGTTAACACAAAACCCGAGGATTGAAGAAAAAAAAAAAAAATCAAATGCAATCTGGGAACAAATCTCCACAAAAGTTGGGAGAAATTCTTGGGAAGGAAGAGGGGACAGAGACAGCTTTTTTTTCCCCCCTTGTAGGTTCCCCTGGCCCTAGGAAACTAGACCAAGGCACAAAACATGAGCAAAACTGTTTTTCAAAGCAGTGGATCCTGAATGTCCTCAATAAATTCAGTCATACAGAGATCAAAGGTGAAAATGAGAAAACTAAACCTAAAACCAATCCAGTGCTTTACTCCCCAAAAAGAGTCCCAGTAGGAACTCTGGTGTCCTAACACATTACTAATCCACAAAATACTGTATGCTGGCTAATTACCTGTGTGTCTTTATTCTTCATGTAGTGCTATGTGCTATCTTCACCCTCTCTTTGTATTCTGATTGATAGAATCTCATGTCACTAATCTGAGCAAAACTATTCAGAAACCAGCTCAGTTTTTACTGATGAAGGCTTTTCTAATCCTTGTTTGTTTATTACTTGAAGTGATTTATCTCTACTGTGCACCAGACTTCTAATCATCCTGTCCTGTCAACCAGCTCAGCACCCCTCTGAGTTTCCTGCCTATCTCGTTCAATCTTTGTTCTTTCCACAGAGTACATGAAAGCAAAAGATTTCACATTTGCAATTTGTCTCTAAATCCAGCTAATGACAGAAAAAAAACCCACAGGTCTCTGAAAGTATATTTGTCTGTCTGCAGAGACACCACCTATACAACCACTGAGGCTGTGTGCGCTAAACATTTCTAAGGCCATAATGGAACACAAGGAACTATAAAGGTCTGGAGCAAAGGCACCTCCTGGGTCTAAGATGACCCAACATGACCACCTAACTAGTGATGACAGTTCTGTCATTTTTCATCAGGCAAGCTGACAATCAGTTTCTTCAAAGATGCAGTGTCTTTGGTTTGACATATCGACAGCCCAACTCCCAGAACAGGGAAATAGTCTGTCCGGAAGGGTAGATGCGTTTGTCTCAGAAGCAGTTATACCAGGATGCCAGCAGTGAAGTAGAACCTGCGAGTCAGGCAGAGGAATGCTGCCTGCATTTGAACAAAAAAAAGCCTCCGGTGCTTTCTGCATCCCTGGGCAGAACTGCAATGCCCAAGTGTGCTGCTTAGTTCTCCAATGCCTGCTGGTGCTCCTGAGGATGCCATGGGAAGACATCTACTGTGCTCTCTCACAAAGGTTGCTTGCCTCACTGTGGCTGGCTTGTTCCTGTAGCTATGTGGGTGGAGACCAGTTGAGGTTATGGTCTTCATGTCCCCGTTTGGGGGAGCTTGCATATCACATAGCACTGTGGATGGCAGTGCTCAACTTGGTTTTGTCACTGGGACCAGGCACTCCCATCTGTCGAGTGCCCATTCTTAGGGCCAGACAGCTTGACTTCCTTTCACTCCTAGGGCAAACCCTCCAATTTTCCTTCCACGTCTTGATCTTTTAGGAGAAAAGGAGAATCCTTGGTTATTTATGATTGCTCTCATGAGTGTCGGATGATGGTGTTCCTGTGGACATAGTCTTTCTAGACTTTAAGAAGGCCTTTGACACCATCTCTCACCCCATCCTCATCAATAAATTAAGTGACTGTGGCATTGATGCCTGCACAGATGGATGGGTAAAAAAAATTGGTTGATGGGGCGCACCCAGAGAGTAGTGGTGGATGGGTTGTACTCAACCTGGTGAGATGTGAGCAGTGGGGTACCCCAGGGCTCGGTCCTCGGGCCCACACTGTTTAACATCTTCATCAGCGACTTGGACGAGGGGGTGGAAAACACTCTGTCCAAGTTTGCTGATGACATTAAGATGTGGGGCGAGGTGGACACACTTGAAGGGAGAGAGAAGCTGCAAATAGATTTAGACAGACTACAAAAGTGGGCAGACAAGAATAGGATGGGGTTCAAAGTAGACAAATGCAGGGTGCTGCCCCTTGGGAGAAGGAATCCACAGCATACATACAGGCTGGGGAGTTCCCGTCTTGAAAGCACAGAGGCAGAAAGGGATCTTGGAGTCATTATTGACTCCAAGATGAACATGAGCCGCCAATGCCAGACCGCAGCCAGCAAGGCCAGCCATACCTTGTCATGCATCCAAAGGTGCATCTCAAGCCGGTCCAGAGAGGTGATACTCCCCCTCTATGCGACTTTGGTCAGGCCACAGTTGGAGTACTGCGTCCAGTACTGGGCGCCGCACTTCAAAGGGGATGTGGCCAGCCTAGAGAGGGTTCATAGGAGGGGTACCCGCTTGGTGAGAGGGCAGCAGGACAGGCCCTATGAGGAGAGACTGAAGGACCTGAACCTGTTCAACCTCAGTAAGAAGGGGCTGAGGGGGAACCTGGTGGCTGCCTACAAGCTCATCGGGAGGGGGGTGGGGAAAATCAACAGCAAATAGGAAGAGCCCTTTTCTCCCCAGCACCACCTGGGGTGACGAGGAACAATGGTCATAAGCTGATGGAGATTAGGTTTAGGTTAGAGATCAGAAGGCAATATTTTACAGTTAGGGTGGCCAAAATCTGGAACCAACTTCCCAGGGAAGTGGTCCTTGCCCCTACCTTGGGCAGAGTCAAGAGGAGGTTGGATGATCACCTGTCTGGGGTCTTGTGAACCTAGCATTCATTCCTGCCTGTGGCAGGGGGGCAGGCTAGATGATCTGTTCAGGACCCTCCTGACCCTAGCTACCATGAAACTATGAGTATCTCAAGTTGCTGGTCCTCGGGGCTCCTCCTCCCCTTACATCCCATCTATGCACCAACCAAATCTTAGTTAGGCTGCCGGTTGTCTGGTAGAAGGATAATGCAGCCAGTGGTTTGCTCAGCTGGCTGTGTTTGTTCACAACTTGTAGTCTCAGTAGGTTAAAGAGTCTTTCAGCTTCGGCTTAAGTCACCAGCCAGGAGGCAAACGGTTCTGTCAACTTTGGGTGATCACACTCCTCATCAGTTGTGGCACTGCCACCATCCTTTATTTGCCTTATCTATGGGGCCTTCTGACCAGGCAGTCCATACTTGAGCTATGTGCAGGGTGCCCAGGGTCTTGAGTCCTTTCACTGGCCCCGAGGTCCTCCAGTAAATCATGTCCCCTTTACATCAGTCCTATGATTGTTTACCAGCCCATTTCCAGTCCAGGCTTAATGCTTTTGCCTCCAACAGTTTTTTTATCCTTCAGTGCTCATGACTGGTGGGCCAGTCTGGCATTACTACCTCAAACAAAAGGAATGTCTAACTCAAAAATAATGTGCTCTTTCTCTTTTCTTGTTGCTCACGGGGGTGCGGGGAGGGGGGGGGAAAAGCAGGTGCCCCTGGAACTCCTGCTGGAAAGCAGTCACAGTTGCCACTTCTGTTGTTTCATAGTTGATAGGGTTGGAAGGGACCTGAGCAGATCATCAAGTCCACCCCCCTGCCATGGCAGGAAAAAGTACTGGGGTCAAACAACCCCAGTAAGGTGTTCATCTAACCTCCTCTTAAAGACCCTCAGGGTAGGAGCCAGCACCACTTGGCTTGGAAGTTGGTTCCAGATCCTAGCCGCCCTGACAGTGAAGTAGCGCCTCCTGACATCTAGTCTGAATCTACCCTCTGCCAGCTTGTGACTGTTATTTCTAGTCACTCCTGGTAGTGCTCGGGGGAACAGGAACTCCCCCAATGCCTGCTGGTCCCCTCTGACTAGTTTGTAAATGGCCACTAGATCCCCCCTCAGCCTTCTCTTGTGGAGACTGAACAGGTTCAGGTCCCTTAGCCCCTCCTTGTAGGGCCTGCCCTGCTGCACCCTGATCATGCGGGTGGCCCTCCTCTGAACCCTCTCCATGCTGTTCACATCCCTCCTGAAGTGCGGCGCCCAAAACTGGACGCAGTACTCCAACTGCAGCCTGACCAGTGCCGCATAGAGGGGGAGGATCACCTCCTTGGACCTGCTCAAGATGCATCTGTGGATGCATGACAAGGTGTGGTTGGCCTTCCTGACCACGTCCCCACACTGTCGGCCCATGTTCATTTTGGCATCATAATGATCCCAAGATCCTTTTCTGCCTCTGCACTGACAAGAAGGGAGTTCCCCAGCCTGTAGGTATGCTGCTGGTTCTTCCTCCCCAGGTGTAGCACCTTGCACTTGTCAGTGTTGAAACCCATCCTGTTCTCATCCGCCCACCCCTGTAACCTGTCTAGGTCCGATTGCAGCCTATTCCTCCCTTCTAGCGTGCCCACATCCCCCCACATTTTAGTGTCATCAGCAAATTTGAACAGGGTACTTTTTACCCCCTCATCCAAGTCACTGATGAAGATTTTGAACAGCGCGGGTCCAAGGACTGAGCACTGGGGGACCCTACTGCCCACATCCCTCCAGGTCGAAAATGACCCATCCACCATTTGTCTTGCTGAGTGAGGCAGCATCTCTCTGGGACTTCCCGTGCTGCTCACTCTTTTTTGCGGGGGGGTTCAGGCCTCTATGGCTGGACTTCTGCTTTGCTTTGCCCTGCTCTGCTCGCTTTGCCCCTACTGAGACAATCCTGCAACTGGGCTCCACCCTCCCTCTGCTGCTGTTCTGGGACTCTCTCTTCCTCTGCCAGCGTCAGGTGCACTCCTATGACATCCACCCTAGCACGCTGATCAATCCATAGCCAGCATAAGCTTATGAACCGGTGTGGACATGGTGCCTGGGGTGGACTGACTGCACCCAGTCCCTGGTTACCACCAGGGTTGCCTCTTGGGATCTTGCCACCCTGGCCTAACTTGTCAGGGTACTCCGCACTGCAACAAGCACCAAAAGAGATCAGTCCTTGTGGACTTCTCCTTCCAGCCTCTAAAATCTGCATCCATCATTATGCTTTAATTTCATACCCCTGGCAGTCATCCATCACTCTATGATCTTTTCCCTTGTTGCCTCCATACTCATTATCTCATTGCTGTCCCTCTTTACTTTACCTCATCCTCTGTTTCCACTTCTTTGATCCTAAGCCAAACTCCATCAACTCCTACTCATGTCAGTATTTTGAAGTGTTAGGCAATTGGCTCATCTGGATGGAAAGACTGTAAACACTCATGCCTCGGGGCAAAAACCCCTCACTGCTGGGAAGAAACTCTCTTGGAGCAGCAGCAAGACAGTAGATTAGATGGATCACAGATCTGATCCAAGATGGCAGTTCCTGCATGCTCCTCCTTCTCCTTGTTGCTCTCTTCTTTCCCCTTACTCATCTGCACAACTTCCTTCCTGTTAGAGAAGATTTTTGGTCATCAGAAGCAACACAGTGATTTAGAAAGACCAACAGCTAGTTCCTTCCTGCCCTTTGACTTTACCTCCTTTGCTCATTGTCAGCAGCTCAAAGCAGGGAAGCAAGTTGTCCGACAGAGAAATTCTTCTGAGGTACAGGAATCCCCAGATGGGCTATAGCCAGCTCTATGCAAATGACTACCATCCCCACGGCATGAACCAAGGCAGGCAAGGGCCTGAGGAAATCTGAGCATGGGTAGTGATTTCTAGGCATCTCTAGGAGCCTTAAAAAAAAAGGACGCTGTCTTGAAATACAAAACACACAGCTTCAACACAGTTATCACTAGGAGGACAAGTGTGTGTTTCTAGCTAAAATATCTACCACCCCTACTAATATGGCATCTCTCTTGTGAAGCAAGTTACTCAAGAGTTCTTGGTAGAGCAAACTTAATAATTCATTGCAAATATCCATTTCTGTTTATTGACAAATCCATGTTTCCATTATGTGGTAACCTCAGTTCTCTCTGATGTATTAGCTAGCATGAAAACAAGCAGGCCAAATCCAACAGATACTTCAGGGTTATCACTGAGTTTGGTTCTCCATTTTATTCTGAAGTATTGTCCATTGTACATATATGACAGACCTATATATCGACCATTGCAGCATCCAGTCCGCAAGCCTCTCTCTCTCATCTTCCATGTACCAAAGTAACACACTCTCTCTTTTTTTAGTGCTACAATTTTACCAAAGAATCAGACAAATCTCATACATATATGGTAATGCTGCAAACTTTGAAGGATCAGTAGTATTGTGGCTGCAAAGATTCCCTGCTGCCACCAGAGAGCAGCCACATCCCTTGGACCTGTGAAGGAAATGCACAGGAGGGAACAGCAAAGTGAACAGACTGAAGTGTTGCCACTTTTGGAATTCTCAAGCCTGTGTGCTGGTGTCAGTCCCACAGTGGTGTCATGAAGACTGACTAGTTGCTGGTACAGAGCTTTGGACATAATATGGGTTTGATTCCACATACTTTCAGGTCCAATTGCAGATAAAAAGTGATTCTTCCAGCAAGCTTTGTTTTTTGTTAAATGGTCCCTTCTTACTATGCAGCTTTTTGTTGCCAGTTTTGTGGGCATCTGGACATTTCTTCTCTACTGTCATCATCCTTGTTTTTTTCCTCTTTGGGAGATGTTCTGGAAGACCCCACCCAAAGCTTTACTGTGCAGCAAGTTAGATTTAAAAAACAAACAAACAAAAAACCTGTTTGAATAGACTGCAAAGTAATTTTTTGTTCTTGGAGAAGATTTTTCTTGGCTTCCTGTCAGATCTATCATCTTGTAACTGAAAGGTCATTCAGAACCTTTCAGTTGCTGTGATGGCCTCCCCTGGTATTTTGGCCTTGCTGGGGATTCTGCATACCCGAGGTGGTTCTGAAGTTAAGTACTCTTTTCCAGGTTTTTGCATGGCATTGTCCTAGTCTCTTATAGGTAAAGCAACAGTGATCATGCACATTATTCATTCACAAATTATTTTTCTTCTCAGATGTTACCCCGTGAATCCTGTCTGCGCTCCTATGAAGTAGGTTGTTTTAGTGTTCCCATTTTAAAGGTGGGGAAACTGAGGTAGAGATGTTAAGGGAATGAGCATCAGAACCAAAATGAGAACGAAGCAGTTTCTGGTTCCCAGGTAGGGCAATCTTGGTTCTTTATTTGGTGCAGAACGTCCTGCATCCCACATCAAGCCAATGTTGTACCCACTCAATCTACTTCAGCATAGTCATGAAAAGGATAATACATCATGAAACTGCAGGTGGTGCTATCCCTTAAATCCTACTTCACAGAGGTATCTCCTATTTTCTTGACAAAGATAATCAGCTAGTGCAGTATGGTCTTTCATTCTGAGCATCGCTGTTAATTCACTTCATGAACACAGAGTTGGTGAGACAGAGCACTTATGGCACTGCTCACTTAGCATCCAAGGACCAGCTCACTGAAGCCAATGGGATGTGCTCCTTTCATTGAGCTTGGATACCATGATCCCATTTTATAACAGAAAAAAAAAGTACCCCATGATCACTATATAACCCTAAGAGCTCTAACTCTAAAGGATCTTTGATCTCAGTGATCAGGTCCTCATCTCTTGGTGCAGACAAGCCCTCCTAGAGCAGAAAGGGGGAGAAACGAAGCACTGCATATGGGTCTCAGATGTTAGCCAGTCTAAGTTCAGAAAGGAAATCGATGTACATTGACAACCCTTGAAACTCTAGGATGGGAAGAGAATGGCTAACTCCCAAGGCCAGTGAGCATCCCTGTTCCTTGAGTCTCAAACAGTCAAGGCACAACAGACTTGGTTGCACTTTTACCCTCCCTCCCAGCAAAAAACAAGAACATGCTACTGCACAGCGTCCACTCCATTTTTCTTGGCTACTGACCCCTGAAGTGTTGAGTATTAAAACAAAATCTGCCTCATGAATTGAATAAACTATACACCAGATTCCCAGCCAGGTGACAAGCAGGTCTGGATTGACTGAGACCCAACACACTCCTGTTATGGCTACAGGGCATTTTTTCCCCTACTGTAACATGGGTTATGGTATTGAAATGCTGAGAACCGCTGTATTACACACTCCAGCCTTAATTCGCAATACATCCGATTAAAAATAATCAACCTCCCCCATGTACCAGCTCTGCCCTTTGCTTTTTCCAATTATTTTCAGCATTAAAATTGCATTTGCTCGCACAAAATCCCCTGGGTGTCAGACTGTGGAATGGAGAAAGGAAGGAAGCTGCAAACTTCCCTGCCCTTTGGTAGCCAATTGAGTAGGTTTGGGTGTCAGTTTTATATCTCATGGCTCCTCCGTGCGAGGACTGTGTCATGCCCCAGCAGAAGAAAGGAATCAGTGAGCTAATGGGCAGTTTCCGTCTCTAGCTGCTTTGATCCTTACCCTTTCTACATCAGCTTGAACTAAAGCCAGAAATAAATGGCCAGCAGCAGCACTGCCAAGCAGCAACTCCCAAGCATTACTACTGCTGCTATTTATAATTCCCCCTCTGTCTGCACCATATTGATGAGATAACAAGCTTGCTGTTTTGCTATGCAAGCCTTATTTTTGCCACAAATATCTCTTGCTTTGTCATCATTTTCCTGTATTAATAAGAAACAGAGCATTTGTTTTTTTTATTTATTTTTTCCTGAGGTGCTTCACTTTTCTGTAGAAATAAGGGAAACAGCAAGGCAGGTATTCTGGTGAGTTAAGAGGTTTGCAGTGAAATTCACTATTTAAATTGAGACGTGAATTAATAGTCAGCTGCTTTGGCTGTGACTCATCACTTTCTGCATTAGGTAGGAAGAACCATGGCTGAGGACAGCAGCAATCCCATGCCTGTCTTTTCATAGGACATGTAAGGTCTGATTTTGCAAGGGGCAGAGGAAACTTTACTGACTTCTCTGGGATTACCCCCATGTGTAGTACTAAGCACATACTTGTTTTGCTGGACTGGTGCCAGATTACCTTACAGAATTAGGCATTTCATCCACATGTTAAAGGAAAAGTCCTTTAACTGAACAGGGATGAAATCAATAAGGCAGACTGCCCCCATCCTCCTAGGTCCATAACTCCCATTTCCACACAATTCACAAACCCACTTTCAGCATTCCTTCAATAGGATTTCTGTGGCATTTGTGACCCCACTTGTAAATGTCATGTCCCATTTAGACTTGCAACCCCTCATTTGCAATCCGTGTAATAAAGCTCTATAAAAATGTAACAGGAGTCAATATATCACTACAATCTGATAGAATTCAAGAGAGAATGAGGTACTTCCCAAAGAAGATTTAAATAATTCTGTAGCATCAAACAGATTTATATCCTGGCCACATAATGCAATATGTTGGTTTAACAACTCTTCTTCAGCTCCAGGATCCTTTTCCATAGTGGTTTGCTCATGCACAGGTTACAGGAACTGATATTGGGATTCAGAATCTTGGGAACTGAGGTCTTCACAGGCCACAGGCCCCGATTCCTTAGATGTGTTGAACACCCGTCACGTCTGCTGAAGGCAAATGAAGTTTGGGTGCAATGCCTCCGAAACTCAGGCCCTCAGTAACTTGTCCAAGTCACACAAAGTTCACTGTAGAGCCCGGGGCTAACCTGCTTCTTGAGTCAGAAATCACTCTACTCCTAAAAGTGTTCATCTAACTGACAGGTGGACTTGAGCCACACAACCTGAAACCCTAACATCTTAGAAAACTTTTGAGCTGGATTTGAAATTTGCTGCTGATCCTAGTTTTCCAAATCTTTGATTTTAGATCTGAACATTCTAGAGCCTGAGAGAAATAAATTCAGGCAGTTTGGATCTGGAGTTCACCTCTTAGTCCATCTCTGCTACTATTTCAGTCAGCACCTGATCAAAGTTTATCTTAAGCAGAGGAAACAAGTAAATCACAGTTTAAGCTGGGGCTTGCTTTCCATTATGCATCCAGTCTCTCCTGCTCCCCATAATTCTCTAATCAGGGTGTAACAGGTTGCTTTCCCCAGCACCACCTTCCCTGCTATCTGCACCCAACGTGGGGCACCCTTGGAGTCCCCTTTAAGGTTTCTTGTGTCCTGCTCTTTACTCGCCTGCCACATCTTGATGGAAATTGTCATGATGATGTTCTTGAAAGCAGGAGACTGCCTATTGTATTTTGTATGTTGGGATCTTTTGCCTCCACAGGCCTCAACCCCATCTTCTCCCTACCTAGGCCTCCCTATCTAAACCCACCAAACAGGGTTTGACTCTGAGGCTCTAATCCTCTTTCCTGCTCCAATCTAGAGCCCAGACTCCCTGGCCTAGAGGTCTAGCCACCAGCCCCACAGCCAGGGTGGTGGTGGAGGTTCAAGGCCAGAAAATGGACTTACTTAATCCCACCAAAAGAGATTAGAATTGCATGTCAGGTGCACCAGGCCACCCCAGCTCTTTAAGGTCATGCCTTCTGGCACCAGGGTCAGTGCACCCCA